CTCTTACAGATCAATGTCTCCACTAATTTGTGAGACCGTATGGAAGTACCTCCCTCATGATGCCTGCCTGGATCCTACGCAGCTTAAGAAAACAAAACCAAACCTCTCACTCCTCCCAAACACTGTAATTCTATTTGTTTATTACTTTTAGCCTTATTTGACAGGGTTTTTGGAAGGTTATTTTGTATCTGTTTTAGATTATAAGGACAGAGGAAACACTAACCTACCACAGAGGTTATAACAGCAGGAAGGGGTTGCTGTCCTTAGGGCTGGGCAACGGAAAGGAAGCTTGAAGGTGTGCCTACTGAAACTGAGACCTTTGAACAGGGATTACTTCGTGGCTATTATTAATATTTCTGAGCTCAGAAATGGGGCCCTGTGAAACTGCGACCCAGACCTCTGAGGAAGGGATTCTAGACAGCTGGTGTCTCTCATGAGGTTGGTTCAGCTAATGTTGAAAAAAGTGTAGTTTGGTGCAGCCATTATGGAAGACAGTATGGAGATTCCTCAAAAGACTGAAAGTAGACTTACCTTACAATCCAGCAATCCCACTCCTGGGCATTTATCCAGAGGGAACCTTAATTCAAAAAGATACATGCACCCCAACGTTCATTGCAACCCTATTTACAATAGGCAAGACATGGAAACAACCTAAGTGTCCATCAACAGGTGACTGGATAAAGAGGTTGCAGTATATTTATACAATGGAATACCACTCAGCCACAAAAAAGAATAAGATAATGCCATTTGCAGCAACATGGATGGATCTAGAGATCATCATTCTAAGTGAAGCAAGCCAGAAAGAGAAAGAAAAATACCCTATGATATCACTTATATGTGGAATCTAAAAAAAAAAAAAAGACAAATGAACTTATTTACAAAGCAGAAACAGACTCACAGGCATAGAAAACAAACTATGGTTGTGGGGGAGGGATACATTGAGAGTTTGAGATTTTACTATATATAAAATAGATGAACAACAAGTTTCTACAGTAGCACAGGGAACTATATTCAGTATCTTGTAGTAACCTCTAATGAAAAAGAATATGAAAAGCAGTATATGTATGACTGAACTATTATGCTGTATTCTAGAAACAGACACAACATTGTAAACTGGACCATACTTCAATAAAAACATTTTTAAAATTAAAAACGAATTAACTCCTGCTACCGAGTGAACTATCACTACCTCGGTGAAGAAGGACTGGTAGAGAGGCAATAAAGGAAAAACCAAGCAAAAACAGTGCCAAAATGCAAACAGGAAGCAGCCTCTCTTCCTCCTTCAGTGCCTCCCATGATGGAGTCTTATGGGAAGTGAGCTGCTTATGGCCAAGCAGAAATGTGGTTGGTAGCGTCCCACCCTCAGGTTCATAGCATAGTAAACAGAATGGGATTGAAAGACTAAACGTTCAATAATGGCACATCTGTGAAAATGAGGTTACTGTCTAATCCACACTCACCTCCCTTACATTATTTGGTATAGTAGGCTGAAGAGTGACCCCAAAGGGATGTCCCCACTCCAATCCCTGGGACCTGTAAATGTTAACTGTCTTTGCAGATGTGGTTAAGAATCTTGACAGAAAGGTCATCCTGTTTTATCTGGATGGGCCCTAAGTTCATTGATGAGAATCCTTATAAAAAAAGAAGTGGAGGGAGAGTAGTTAAATGAGAGAAGGAAAGTGAGGTAGAGATTGGCATGATACAGCCACAAACAAGGGGATGCAAGCATCTACTGGAAAAGGCACACAGAAGGGACTCTCCCCTAGAGCCTCCGAGGAGAGAGAGTGGTCCTGCTAACACTTTGATCTCACACCTCTGAGAGAACAGACTTCTGTTTTAAGCCAAGTTTTTGGTAATTTGTTATGACATCCACAGGAAACTAGTAAACTTAGCTTATGCCTTATATGGTTGGCCCTCCATATCTGTGGGTTCTGCATCCATGAACTCAACCAACCATAGATTATACTATTATATGCGAATATACATGCATTTTACATAAGAGACTTGAGCATTCATGAATTTTGCTATCCATGGGATCCTGGAACCCATGGGGTCCTGGAACCAATCCCCTGTGGATATGGAGGGATGAATATATATGAAACATTTAGTAAAATTTATGAAATAAATGAATTAAATGGTAATCATAAAACCTTTGATTTAATTAGAGGAAGTATCATTTATTTATAAATTTTACTAATTTTTACCAATAAGCTGAGGTAATTGAAATCTGACTAAACCTAAATTGTTAATCCCTTAAAAGGTTGAAGAACTCTGACTTTATAGATTATCAAACCTTTCTACAAAGCAAACATTTCTGAAATAAAATGAATATAGTAAAACATTTTTCTAGATTAATTTTCAATGTCGTTATTCTCTATTTAGAAAGGAAAAATTGGCAGTATAAATCAGCTTTGAGAAAGTGTCTACTAATTTTTTCAGAACTATCTAGTTAATTTCATAGTTAATAGTTGAGAAAAGGAGAAAATTGGGAATATAATTTGCTTATATTCTATATAAAATATACATATTTGTATATGTTAATTTTTGATGCATGTTATTTTCTTTCCTCCTAAACTTTTGTATCTGACAAGGCTAAATTTTATTGACTTTGAATTGACATTATATAAAATTAGTTGAGCTAGCATATCTTCCAAACTCCCTGGTGGAGCATATGTAAGCTTTGATTAGAAAATAAGACCTACTATGATTAGCAATAACAAAATTGGAGACACTTTAATTGGCACATTTGAAGGCTGTTCCTTCCAAAAATATTTGGCCACGCTCCCTCCCATCTCACATTACTGTATAAAGAGCAGATTACTATTTGCACATAATTATTTCTGGATAGGAAAGAGAAGACAAGGTGAATTTTTAGTCTATGTTAGGATTAGCCAAATATAACCAGGCAGATACAAACAGAGTTTCTTCTCAGTACTGTTTAGCCATTTAAAGAGCTTTGCCAAAAGTATTCTTACCTTGTATGTCATATTATTTTAGCTGAAATCAGCACAACTCCTATTAGAAAACAGCAAAACTCATTTGCTCCACATCACAACTGTTAAAAATCCATTGCTTATGAGAGAAACCTGTAATTCTTGATTTCTCCCCTTTTCTTCACACTCCCATCTAATCTATCAACAAGTTGTTACAAATTTTTTTTCTTCTCTCCATTCATACTTCTATCAATATATCTCTATCGTATGTTCCTGGATTGGAAGAATTAACTATGTTAAAATGGCCATACTACCCAAAGCAATCTACAGATTTAATGCAATCTCTATCAAATTATCCAGGACATTTTTGACATAATTAGAACAAATAATCCTCAAATGTATATGGAATCACAAAAGACTCATAATTGCCCAAGCATTACTGAAGAAAAAGAAGGAAGCTAAAACAAATAACCCTTACCAGACTTCAGACAATACTACAGAGCTACAGTAAATCAAAAGAGCATGGTATTGATACAAAACCAGACATCTGGATCAATGGAACAGAACAGAGAGCCCAGAAATAAACCCACAAACTTTTGGTCAATTAATCTTTGAGAAAGGAGGCAAGAACATACAGTAAAGACAATCTCTTCAGCAAATGGTGTTGGGAAAACTGGACAGCAGCATGTAAATCAATGAAGTTAGAACACTCCCTCACACCATATGCAAAAGTTAACTCAAAATGGCTTAAAGACTTAAAAGGCAAGACACTATAAACCTCTTACAAGAAAACATAGGCAAAACATTATCTGACATAAATCTTAGCAGGACTCTCCTAGATCTATCTACCCAAGCAATAGAAATAAAAGCAAAAATAAACACATGGGACCTAATTAAACTTACAAGCTTCTGCAAAGCAAAGGAAACCATAAGCAAAGCAAAAAGTCAACCTACAGGAATGGGAGAAAATATTTGCAAAAGATGAGACTGACAAGGGCTTAATTTCCAGAATATACAAACAGCTCATACAAGTTAATCAGGAAAAAACAAACAACTCAATCCAAAAATGGGCAGAAGACCTAAACAAGCAATTCTCCAGTGAAGACATAAATGGCCAATAGGTGCATGAAAAAATGCTCAATATTGCTAATTATCAGAGAAATGCAAGTCAAAACTACAGTGAGGTACACCTCACAACAGACAGAATAGCCATCATTCAGAAGTCCACAAATGATAAATGCTGGAGAGGGTGTGGAAAGAAGGGAACCCTCCCTACACTACTGGGAATGCAGTTTGGTGTAGCCATTATGGAAAACAGTATGGAGTTTCCTCAAAAGACTAAAAATAGACTTACCACATGGTTCAGCAATCCCAATCCTGGATATATATCCAAAGGGAACCCTAATTCAAAAAGACACCTGCACCCCAACATTCATAGCAGCACTATTTACAATAGCCAGGCTATGGAAAAGACCTAAATGTCCATCAACAGATTTCTGGATAAAAAAGATGTGGTATATTTATACAATGGAATACTACTCAACCATAAAAAGAATAAAATAATGCCATTTGCAGCAACATGGATGGACCTGGAGAATATCATTCTAAGTGAAGTAAGCCAGAAAGAGAAAGGAAAATACCACATGGTATCATTTATATGTGGAATCAAAAAAAAAAAAAAGACAAAGTTACTTACAACACAGAAACAGACTCACAGACATAGAAAACAAACTTATGGTCACCAGTGGGGAAATGGGGTGGATAGGAATAAATTGGGAGTTTGAGATTTGCAGATAGTAACTAGTGTACATAAAATAGATAAACAAGAAGTTTATACTGTATATAGCACAGGGAACTATATTCAATATCTTGTAGTGACTTATGGTGAAAAAGAATATGAAAATGAATATATGTATGTTCCTATATGACTAAAGTGTTGTGCTGTACACCATAAATTGACACAACATTGTAAACTGACTATCCTTCAATAAAAATATAAAACCAAATATGATCTCTGATGATGGTTAATTTTATGTGTCAGCTTGGCTAGGCCATGCTGCCCAGTTGTTGAGTCAAACACTGATCTGTATGTTGTTATAAAGGCACTTTGTATATATAATTAAAATTTACAATCAACTGACTTTAAATAAAGTAGATTATTCTTGATTATGTGAATGGGATTCATTTAATCAATTGAGGTTCTTAAGAGCAAAAACTGAGGTTTCATCGAGAAAAAGGAATTCTGCCTCAAGACTCCGGTATAGGAATCCATTTTGAATTCCCAGCCTGCTGGCAGCCTGCCTTACAAATTTCAGACTTAAGACAGTAACATCAACTCTTCCCTGATTTCCAGCCTTTCTGCCCTGCAAATTTTGGACTTTCTAGTCTCCACACTCACAGGACCCAATTTCTTTAAATCATTCAATCTGTCTATCCATCCATCCATGATCCATCCTCTTGTTTCTTCCTCTCTGGAGAACCCTGATACTCTTAGATCATTAAACTATCATATCATTTTTAATTTCTCCATTTATTTCATTACGTTTACAATCCCTTCTCCATGTAGCAGACATGGATGAATGGATGGATGGATGGATGAAAGAATAGATAGATAAAATTATGTTACCCTCTGTTTAGACTCAGATTTCAA